TCGAAATGGCCGACTGGCGGCCATTTTCTTAAAGAATTCAGTTCTGGATCCGTATCCAAGACATGTCTGGATTGATCAAGTTCAAACTTCACACACACATGGTGCATCATGTCACAAATAGATATGTGCATTTGTTTCATGATCCGCTTAACAATAGCTGAATGATGGCCATTTTAAGACCGAAAATGCATTAAAATCACGTATTTTCACAATTCCGGAACCAGATCTCAGTCATGCATGGATGGATTTTGTTCAGATTTAGTACAATGTGTTGTACATATGCAGGTGCATTTCGGTCATGATCTGCTTTGAATGTATATGTCACTCAAATATGAACGGAACGGGGACGTGTCATTGACAATGACTTGTCAATTTTTGTTAAGAACTCTTCAACCCTGAAGCCGGAATTGGGGGTGCGGTTACTATTACGGTATGCAGTTTATATTAGGACTTTAACGGTACCTCCCCATTTACCCCCTAATTGATGACAACAATTCAAAAAACTACAAATGTTTTGATTACAAACTATGCCTGTAGTTCTAATGTTTTGAGTATCAAATCTACTGTAGAATACTTTTTTTTGCTTTGAAGTAATTTTTGCTATTTTCGCTGAAGGAATAATTCAGTAATAATAGAATCCAGCGAATATATCTTTTTACCTATATTTGACATTCAACTCATCGAAAATCAGAGAAAATAAATACCATACATAACACTCAAAAAGTCTATTCAGCGAAAATTAATTCCAGCTAAAATGAAGTATTTTACAGTATTCAAAACAAACCTGTGAATCAAGTGCTAACTTCAACCATGCATTGATAAATAATTGTCAATTTCATTGCATTGGGTATATCGCAAAACGATTCAATCAGTGATGTGTTTTATGTCGCTAATTCCTAGAGTGCGTTCCATGCATGATACATGATTGTGTTCAAACAACACATGTACACACAAGGTGATTTTTCGGAAAGCATACTATCATACTATCTAAGCAATAGTACTAGTGAAATATAAACGTGTCTCTCTCATTATCCATGAATTTCATAAACTCATGGTTACTTTCAACAGTTTGCTGGATCAATGTTCCAACAATTTTTCAATAATTTTTTTCTGTTTCTAATTTACCGGTACACAAATATTACAATTTTTTCAGCCAATCATGTCAGGCAACTCTTGAATATTTAAAAGTTGTTTTTAATTTCCATTATAGATAATTGGCTTTGGTTTAAGTTCGTTAGAAGGCGTTGATCCTAATCCTGATAATTACGTTGGTGCTGGTGTTATTCACACAAAAGCCATGCAAATAGGATGTCTAATGAGACTGGAACCCAACCTACAAGCACAGGTATACTTCTATTTCCCCTTTTTTGTGGTGTTTTGTCACGGTCATTTTCATTGCACTACAGATTACTTGTTTACTTCATGTCATGATTTTAAATGTTTTGTATTGAATTTTTGTTGTGAATTTTTTAACCCTTTTTAAGCCAACCTTGTGGTCCATTTTCATATAAAAGAAAATACAGAAAAAATTGTTTGATGAAAGTTCACTTTGACTACCGGTACATTTTGCGTTTTTTGTATTTGCTAAAAATTGTCTATGAATTTAAATAAGTTTATACATGTAGTTTTCTGATTGGTCATAGAATGGCATAGTCAGTGAGAAGCTTATTTGCTATTCTCTCCTAATGATATTTTCCTAAACTTGCAGCTGAAAATTAGTGAAACTGATTTAATTGGGTATTCACCTTCCATAAAAGCGCATCTGGTGTCTAAATTGTGTTTGGCTTTTGTTCTGTTTCAGATGTATCGCCTTACGCTGAGGACCAGTAAAGAATCTGTCTCTAAACGACTGTGCGAATTGCTAAGCGTCCAGTTTTAAAATCAGACAAATATTGAATGTACAGTAGAAGGTTAAAGGTCATACTTACAGCCACTGACTTTTGTCTGCTGAAAAAAACTTGATAGTTTGTACGACAAGATACAAATCATTGTGCAGGATTAATATCTTTACTATTGAGTAATTCGTTTTAGAAAATAGACGTCACTGGTCAGTTTTTTCTGCCTTGCATTCCCACTTTACAAGTCTGTGTAATAACACTCCCAGAACAAATTAAAAACATATGATGCATTAATAAAGTGATGCTATTTTACGTGAACAAATATGCTATATTAAAAAGTAGATATTCTGCCCTCACTTTTCTGCTACTGTAAAAGGGTTAATTATTCACTGGGTTTTAATTTTGTTTATTGCGCTGAATATGTAAAATTTAGCATAGAACGCATTATCTAAATGATTAGATCGTGAATTTAAAACCCACTGAATATGCCTGAAATGGTAAACCCAGAGAAAATTAGTCATTTTACAGTAATTTAATTTGAGAATACGGAAGGGTCATATCCCTTAAACAACCATACCTGCAATGTAAATGGCCTTCAAGGACAAAGTCTCCTATTAAACTGAGCAAGTGTCTAATATTTACAAAACTTCATTTAGGAGAGGTGTCGTTTAAATTTTTATTCTGCATTTAATTTTGTATTACCCACCCACAACATTTATATTGGTTTGAGGATGGTACCTTGCAAAGTAGGAATGCAACTTTAAAATAAATGTGTGTTTTTATGTCAATTATGGTGGCGCTTGGAATTGATTAGTGTCCGGGATTAGTCTCGCATCTATATCATGCAGTTTTGTTATTTTAATTTCTCTTTATCACTTTCGTGATGACTGACTACTGTACCACCCTTAGGAAATCATTGTTGAAATTTGGTGATCTTTTTTTAAGTTAGATAGTAAAAAAATTGTTACCCATGAACGCACATTTATTGCTTGATGAGCAATTGATGTAGCAACATGCATACGAAGCTTGTTTACTTTGTTTACTTTAGATTTATGCATCAATATGTACATTATGTAGTTTGTTCTGTTATTTAAAAACGTTCGCTTCGCTCACAGAAGGATCACTTCCTTAAAATGCTTCTCCAAGAAAAAAAACTTATCACTTAATAAATTTAACTAAACATTGTACACCAAGGTCACTGAAGCCATGGTTCAGTTCTAAGTGCTTTGTCTATGGTGTGTAATTAATCTTTTCACTACCAGACTTTCTAGCCTAAATTTTTCTGCACTTTTTTAGTCCCCGTTCGGATGCAGTTCGAAAACGGACTTATGTTTTGACCTCTGTGCATGTGTGCGTCTGTGCGTGCGTGCGTGCGTCCGGACCTGTATCTTAGAAATGCCTGGACCAATCACAATCAAACTTCACACATACATCATACATGATATCATACATATGCACGTCAATTTGTTTCATGATCTGATTCAAGATGGTCAAATGGCGGCCATTTTTGTGCTAAAAATCATCAAAATCGAGCATTTCCTGGTTGTTTACAGATGGATTTTGCTCAAACTTGGTATATACATTAGACATTATGGGACCTTGATGCAAATAATTTTGTTTTTCAGATAACATTCAAAATGGCCGACAGGCGGCCATTTTGTATTAATCAATGTGGTTCTCGTGCCATATCTCCAATATATTGTTTTGACTGATTATGTTCAAATTTTAAATATTCATTATACATCATGTCATAGATATATTAGTTTGACGATCCTATTCAAAATGGCCGAATGGTTGTCATTTCTGTACTAAAAAATCATTAAATATTAAGCATTTCTGGCATTTATAGATGGATTTCGTTCAAACTTGGTACATACATTAGACATTACGGGTTCCTGATGCAGGTCATTTTATTTTTCAGATCAGATTCAAAATGGCTGTCTGGCGGCCATTTTGTTTTAATGAATGGGTTTCCAGACCCATATGTCTGACTTGTTTTGTCTGATTATGTTCAAATTTTTAATATTCATTATACATCATGTCACAGATATACGGATATATTGGTTTGATGATCTTTTTCAAAGTGTGCTATTTTTGTGCTAAAGAAATCCTCGAATATCAAGCATTTCTTGCATTTATGGATGGATTTTGTTCAAACTTATAACACACATTAGACATTACAGGTTCCTGATGCATGTCATTTTATTTT